TGAGAAGGAATTATTAGCAATTGTGTGGGGATGTAAATATTTTCGACCATACTTATATGGCAAGGAATTCGATTTACACACTGATCACCAAACACTTAAATGGTTACAAGCAAAATACACCGGCAAGGATATAAATCCCAGACTCCAAAGATGGTTAGTACAATTAGGCGAATATGTTATGTAGGCCTGTGGAAAAATAACAAATTAATACCACAAGAAGCAAATAAACATTCACGACATTACCTCGGAATTCCCTCGATGTCCATTGAGCTCTATACACGTCACCAAACTCCTCTTTGTGTTGTTGTTTGATTGGGGCGTTGAGGCGATCAGTGCATTCAAGGCGAATTCCAGCGAAAGCTGCACCAAGTTCAAACTACTGAGAGAACGAGGTGTTACCAAGCAGGAAAAACCATCGTAAATACAAAAGGGCAAGTCATACTCTTATGGAAGTAAAAATAAAGTAAGCGGCGTAATAGTTCATTCACCTGAAGGTAAAGACCAAAACAAAGACAGGAAAAGTCAGTAACAGCAATGCACGAGAGAACAACCTAGTAACTGAAAAGTGGTGAAAAGTTTCAGCGCCAAATTTGGAATTAACAGGACAATGAATGTTCTAGAAAAATGTGTTCAGTTAGTCGAGAGGGGTATAAAAGCCATGGCAAGTAGGTTGTTCGGTCTTCTTGGATATGATCGTGATCGGAGTTTGTTTAAGCTGATTTTTTTTTAAACTTTTCAAATATAAACTGATTTTTTTTTATGAGTGTTTGAAATTTACAAGAAACTTAGAACGCTTAACTTAGAAATTTACAAGAAAAATCAAAAAAAAAAAAAAAAAAAAAAAATTAAATAAATAATTTATCCGATGAAACGTACAATAAACATACTGCTAATGAAGTATTAGTGAAAATTATGAAGAAAAATTTTTTTTTTTGAAACTAATGTAACTGAAAAAAAAGAGTTCAAAAAGGTGTATTGTGCACTATTGCTAAATTTTTCCGCTCTATGGTAAAAAAATAGGTTTTTTGTGAAAAGCCCAAATAAAGGTTTACGTAACATATCAATTAACGAAAACTTACCTAAATATTGAAGAAGAAAAAAAAAAAAAAAAAAAAAAAAGGAATTAAAAAATTAAAAATAATTGTTGGTAATAAAAATCTTTTCTTTCAAAAAGAACTGAACTCTTTTTGCTATAAAAAGTGATATCAAGAACAAAAGGTGAATACAAAAAACAAATACATGAAAGTCATAGCATCATCCATTTTTACTTTCGGAGAAAGTGAACTGATCGAGATAGTGGCAGAGCTGTAAGTTGGAGATCCTGAATTCATAGCCGTTTTTTTCTATTTTTGAAGAGCTCTATAATCAGCAATTCAATTACTTAAAGAAGTACCAACGGAACAATATAATAACAGGTATTTTTACAGCTATACAGTATTACGGATTCAGTGCGGTTTTTTTGTACTACTACTTCTACTACTTCTAATTCTCCATTAAATATATTAGAGCCTTATATTGAATCAAACAAAAACATACATATTACATATGTACTACATATTATGTGCCACTCGAAGTTGAAACCCTATTAAGCTTCGGACCTAAGTATTGCCCTATACGGGTACCAGTGATATACGATTATTATCATGTAGTGAAAAACTATTATGAAGCACATTTAGATTCTTTTATTAATCTTAATCTATGCAATCCATTAGAAATGGAAGCTCATTATACTCAAATACTAAATATAATTGAAAAGGAACAGAATTTAACCTCAGTTCAAAAATCTTTAAAGCAATTGTATGAGTATGCTACAAATTATCTGAAGAAGCACAATGATACACTTATCGTGCAATCTGATAAGTGCAAATCTACAGTATTAATGTATCGTGCAGATTACATAGAAAAAATGACCAATTGGATATCTTCTTATATGAGTACAGGTTCTTGTGTAGAGGTATATGAAAAACCTGAAATATTATCTCGTCGTATAGGAGGTTATTATAGAAAAATAGCTAGACCCTTATGCAAGTTATATGAGAAAAATAATGCATTATATTCAAAGGAAATATATCAAGAGATTCAAAAATTGTTATCTGATACCCCAACCTTACCATATCTATATGGTACTATTAAAACTCATAAGGACGATGCTTCTATACGTCCAATATGTAGTCCCCTTGGATGGTACATATCACCTATTCATAAATTAGTTCATTATCTACTGAAATACACAATAGATGATCGTTTATCTTCACATAATGTGTATAATATAAACCATCTAACAGGTCATTTATTAGGGTTACGCCCTATATCAAATTATGTATTAATATCTATTGACATTAAAGAAATGTATCCAAGCACTCAAATATTACCCTTATTATAAACATTAAATAATTTAATGCAACTCTCCTGGTTTTTGAAAAAATGTCCAATTCCAATATCCCTATTAGCGCAATCAATACAATTTATTTTACTTCACGGTAATTACTTTACCTTTAATAATAAAACTTATCAACAAATAGAAGGTTTACCTCAAGGAGGTAGTGCCTCAGGACTATTGGCAACAATATACATAGATTCGAAGCTAGAATTATATGCTAAAACTCTAATGACCACCTACCGTGTACATGCTTGGTGGAAGTATGTGGACGATGTTCTAGTCTATCTTCCACGAACAAATGTAGATTCTTATTGCAATGCCCTATCCAAACTTATAGGTTACAAACTAACACATGATGTGGAAATTCCTCATCCACAATATCATAATCATCCTTGCATAAGTTATTTAGATTATACAATAATACATACTGAAGATTCCTTCAAACTAGCTCTTTATAAAAAACCCAAGTTATCTAGCAGAACCTGCCATTATACCTCTCACGTACCTCATCATATAAAGAAGGCCACACTCTCTTACTATTTGAAACGAATAGTATATCGTACAAGCATAGAATACCTACAAAGAGATATTACTGAATGCGTGGATCAATTGCTACAGAATAGCTATCCCTTACTACTAATAATTCAGACATTAAAAATTATAATATTAGGTTATCCTTGTATATCTTCACCTTATATACAACATTCTACCCCAACTCGTATGCATCTATTAAATCAATTTATAAAACCATACGAATTACAATCAGGACCTACATATCCATATTTAACACACATCACTCCTAAACCAAAACAATATAATAAAAGCATCGTTTTTGGTTGTGAAGAAATCTCATTCTTCTTACACTCATCTTTAAAAGATTTATCTATAGGATCTCCTACATTTTGTCGTTCAGACACATTATTTACCTCATTGCATATGTCACTTCGGTCAATAAGCCCAACTAAACATCTAACTTCAAAACATAGGATATTATTAACCACTTGTAATACTTGTAATACTTGTAATATAGGATTCTTATGCACAGGCAAAGGCATACCACGTGAAATAATAGAAGATGTAATGAAAGACTCACAATCACCAATATACCAACATTCAATAAAATATAATCACCTAATATCAACACATCCTGTGCGGTTTTTAGTCTGGATATTTATATATAACAGTTTCATAGCTAACGTTTCAACATTGTGCATGATTAGGTTTGTACACCTTTCTCTGTCTTTCTTTGTTTGTTTCTTTTGTCTGTCTATTCTCATTTTTTAAAATGGCGAGATGGCTATGCTGTTTTTATGGGATGTTCAATTGAATGCTTAATGAATTTAGTTGTTTGTTAAGTTTTGAGATGTGCGCATGGTATTACGCACAATGTGGTGTTTGTGTTATTGTGATCATTATATAGTCTATTTATATATTAAAATTTTCATATTTAATATATATTGTTAATATGTGTTAGTAGTGATTTTATAATAACATGTAAGTTTGTTTTTTTATATTCTATTTTATTTCTAGTTATTTGTATTTTTATAACAATTTCTCATGACATACTATACGAATAATATTTTCATTCCATTCTGATGAGTCCGGTTGGTTACCGGACGAAACGCGTCAATGGAAACCATTGACTGTAGGTTACTTTGTTGGTTATACCAATATATAGAATTTCTATCATAATCATTGCGAGAATGGCAGCAAAGATGGGAAGACTCCCTCAATGGCCGATGGACCTATGCATTAATCCCAAACATCGAGGTATGGTTCACAAGACCCCATGGAGAGCTGGAGTACCATCTCACCCAGATACTAAGCGGACATGGTTGCTTTTTGCATTATCTACACAGATTCAATTTGGCCGACAGCCCTATCTGCCCAAGTTGCCCGAATGAAGTAGAAAGTGCAGAGCATGTTGCCTTCAGATGCACAAGATTTATTGAAGAACGCCAAATACTACAAGAAACCATAGGACGACCACCAGCAATCGAAAACCTAGTAAGCGAAATGTGTTCGTCGAATGAAAAATGGAATGCAGTTAAGTGGTTTGCTAACACAATAATGCGCAAATTACAAGATGCAGAAAGAGAGCGTAAAGCCCTTCAGCAACAACAACGAGAGCGTCATCCACAACCTCAAGTACCAGACCTGCAAAACACAGCTATGGACAACAACAGCAGCGGCAGTCAATAACACTAGCAATACAGACGTAAGACTGACTTACAAAACTATAGGTGACGGAAGTAAAATTCCAAATTAGTGGACAGAACAGCGTTTGGCTGCGCTGAAGAATGAATAAGACTAACGAAGTATGAGCTTCACGCTCAACTTTAAATATAGGGTGAGCTTAATGCTCAATACGGCCTTCTGATGTTATACTTTACGGTGATTCCAGAAGGGTGACCCGTACGGACGAGAGGAGTTTTTAGTGGGTTAAAGTCCTACACTGACTTAGGCTTTCGATGCTTTTCTCCTAATCCAAAAAAAAAAAACAAAAAAAAAA